CTGCTGCTGCTGGGTGCTTTGGCCAACCAGGCTTTACGCAGAGAGCGCGTTTTAAGAGATCGTGCCGATCTTTTTGCAGAGATGGATGAATGGCTGCTCAGCCGCTTCAGATTACCACATGTTATACTTCTGGATTTGTACTTCTGGAGCCAAAACTTTTGTGAAGCACGCGCCGGTCAAATCCTGTGCCTCCACACCTTCAGCTACTCAGCGTACTTGAAGTTTTGGCCACAGGATAATTCCAGAGAGAGATAGTAGACAGGTCGGGAATTTCTCAGTCCACTTTGAGCCGTGTGCTTCCACAAGTTTTGAAGTCCATCATTTCTATTATGCCACAATACATTTCCTTCCCATACACAGCTGACCAGCAGGTTGATGTTAATAATGCCTTTTTAGCCTCCATTTTCATATCAAACCATTTTCTTTTAATTTCTGCAAGTGTGTGTATTTCTGCTGACATGGCATTCACAGCATCGCATATATTTTGCCACTGCTGTGTTTTTGATGTGCCTGTAACACCAGTACTGACACTCTGGAAAATTATGTTTCCTGCGTTTAATTTCACTTAATAGTCCCTCAATTTCTTTGTTGCTAAAGTTCTTCTTTCTAATTCCCTTTTTCAGTGACATCTCTCCAGTTGTTGTGCCAGAGTTAGGTCTTTGAACGTGGCACATCACCTGTCCTTATATGGTGTTTAGTGAGTGTCACATACGCTAATTGCAAACAATTGGCCACGCGCCTCCAATTTACGATCAAGTGGGATTCATCATTCAGCACATCTGGGCAGTGGTGTGCATGGGGGGTGTGCGGTCGCCGCCCCTCATGGCCCAATTGTTGAAAAATGCACGCTAAAGTGCCCTCTTGGGAGCCAAAACGCACGCTAAAGTGCCCTCCTGGGAGCCAAAACGCACGCTAAAGTGCCCTCTTGGGAGCCAAAATGCTCTCCTGGGAGCCAAAACGCGCACTAAAGTGCCCTCTTGGCAGCCAAAGTGCCCTTCTGGGAGCCATAAAACATACTAAACTGCCCTCTTGGCTGGTTAAAATATGATAAACTGCCCTCTTGGGTGATAAAAACATTACTGTTGCAATTTTATGTTGGGCCCTTTTTTGATCTATATTGAGCCAGAACTATATCTCACAGAACCAGTTTGGATTATCTGGTGCTAATGGTGTTAAAATGCACTAGAATACAGGAAATGGCATCTACTTAATTGAAAATTTTCTGGGGGAGGACCCCCACACCCCCCCAGGGATTTATTTCTTTCATACATCCATGTCTCTGTGTGTTCTTCACAGTCCATCGTTGAATCTACACAGTTCTCATGGATGCTGATCCTAACTACAAACTAACTTGAGTAGTCTGTCTAGTTAGTCTGTTTTAAGGCTATATAATGTGCCATTTGTATAACATATAAACATGTCTAAAGTGCCCTTGATTCAATCAATGTCAATGCAAAGAAGAGGGCCTTCAGAGCTGGTAACAGGGAGGAGGTGAGAACAATACAGGGGGAGCTGAAGATGAAGATCAGGGAGGCTAAGGAGGAAGCTGGAGAGGAAACTCCAGCAGAACAACGTGAGAGAGGTCTGGAGTGGAATGAGGACCATCACTGGCTTCAGGACCAACAACCACAGAGGAGTTGAAGGCAGCATGGACAGGGCCAATGAACTGAATCTGTTTTTTAACAGATTTGACACTGCTGGCCCTGCCCATCCCCCCCCCGACTCTTCTGCTGTCTGTCTTGGTCAACCATCTCCCACTCTGCCCTCCTCCCCCACTCCTCCCTCTCACACCTCAACACCCTCCTGCTTGACCCCCCCTCCTCCTCCTCCTCCTC